AGAAGATACTTCTTGAAAGAAAGACCTACAGGAAAAATACAAAACAATAGAGGCAGACTGACTGTTACTACAAGAACAAGCAAGTTGCTTGCCCAGGAAACATTAAAAAAAACAAAAAAAGAGCTGTTGATTGTTGAATGGTTTTCCTGATAGTGTTTCAGTGATGGCTCTTGAGAATCCCAGAAGACTGAAAGCATTTACTTTCTAGCTAATGGTTCATTTTTGAACTTTTTCTTGGTCAGTGATTTAGGATGTTTCCATTCTATATTTTGCCATTTATTCTCTGACTCCTAGTAATGCATCCATGTCTTATCACCAGTAATGATTTTCTTAAGGAAACTTTTATCTTCCTTTGAGTATAGGTACAAATTTTGTTTGCAGATGTCCAAACGTTTCTGTTGATGCTCTTCCGTGAGTAGTTTCAGCACTCATATTGCACAAACTTTTCAAAACTCAAGTCTGTCATGGATCATTTCATAGTCAGAGCCATGGTTGATTTGCAAATAATTTGTCACATAGTCCACTCTCACTTGTCTAGTCAACAGACTCCTTTCATATGCACACTCAATGTTGTGATCGGCTATAGATGTAGACCAGCTTTTTAATATAACCCGAGTTTGAATAATTTTTGACTCACCCTTGTACTATGCTTATGAAGGCCCAGTGGAATAAATCAAGTTAAATAGTAAGTGTAGCATTATGGGCTAATGTACTGGATGGCAAGGTTGGTTTGAACCACAAAGTTGGTGGCTCAAGCTCACCACCCACTCCTTGGAAACTCTATATAGGGTCGCTATGTGTTGGAACTGACTCAACAGCACTTAACAACAACAGCAAACAATATAGCAAGCTCAAACCCACCAGCTGTTCCTTGGTAACCCTGTAAAGAGTTTCTATGAGTCAGATCAGAATCCAGGGCACTTAACAACAACAAGAGCAAGCACCAGAATAGTTTTAAGTCATAATGACTAATTGACAATAATACAGTAGATAAAAAGATTAGAGGTACTTTGCAAATAGTACATTAGTTGCTTTGAAACGATTTCCAGCAGTGTAAAATTATTTTGCACATGAAAATATAAGCAGAGGCTTCATATGTAGAATCACTGAAAGCAGAAGTGCTGTTGACTATTTTGCATCTAGAAGTACTGAGAGAAGTAGCCAGCCTTGCCCACTCTGTGCCCCAAAAGTTCTCTGAAAAGCTAAATGAGTCCTCAGAAATGCTTAGGGTTGATAAAGAAATCACGGATTGAAAACCAAAGGCTGGCAGTTGTTTCTGAGTGCCATAAAAGACAAAAAAATAAGTTTTTGCTATAGACCAACATGATTTGCACATGGCTTATAAATCCTGTTTGCCTATGTTTTTGTGAACAACTATCAGAATTTTGTTTGGGGTTTTAGCATCAAAAGGAAATTTTAGGATGTTAGATTAAGTTATAAATTCCTTCAAGTAATTTTTTTTTTAATAGACTAAAATGGTATGGCACTATAGATAAACACTGGACTGCTAATCACAAGGTCAGTGGTTCAAACCCACTAGTTGCTCCTCTGAATCCCTACACAGGGTTGCTGTGAATCTGAATGATTCCACAGCACTAAAATGAAACATAATTGAATACAATTATTTACTTTGTAAAGACTGAGAATGGGCACTCTATTTGCATGACAATTAGCAGAACAAGAAAGTGTAAAAACAAGAAGGATCCTAGTAATTCCAGATTATATACTAAACATATAAAAATTACATGAATGTTGTTGTTATGTGCCAGGGAGTGTGTTCCAACTCATAGCAACCCTGCATAGGATTTCCAAGGCTGTAAATCTTTATGGAAGCAGAAAACCTCATTTTTCTCGTGCAGAACAGCTGGTAGTTTCCAATTGCTGACCGTGAGATTAGCAGCCCGATTTGTAATCACCACGCTACCAGAGCTCCTTAATTACATGAATACATCTTCCAAAATGAATACATCTTCCAAAAACTATTAGAACATCTACAAAGCTAGAGATACCGTTGCCGAAGTCATATGGATCTTGGCTGAAAGCAGAGAATACCAGAAAGATGTAGACTTGTGCTTTATTGACTATGCAGATTTTGAACTGTGCGGATCATAACAAACTATGGACAACAATGCAAAGAATGAAAATTCTGGAACAATTAGTTGTGTTCATGAGGAAGCTGTATATAGACCAAGATGTGGTCCTTTGACCAGAACAAGGGGACACTGAATAGTTTAAAATCAAGAAAGGTGTATGTCAAGGTTGTATTCATTCACCATATTTATTTAATCTGTACCATGATCAAGTAATCTGAGAAGTTGGATTATAAAAAGAATGTGGCATCAGGTTTGGAGAAAGACTAATTAACAACCTGTTATATGCAGATGATACATCCTTGCTGCTGAAAGTGAACAGGACTTAAAATACTGATGAAGATCAAAGACTACAACCTTCAATATGGGTGGTCTCTTAAAGTTGTCATAGACTTCATTTGGCTTGGATATACTATCAATAATCATGGAAGCAGCAGTCAAGAAATCAAACTACATATTGCACTAGGCAGATCTGCTGCACAAAACCTCTTTAAAGTGTTCAAGAACAGAGGTATCAGTTTGAGGACTAAGGTGTGCCTGACCCAAGCCATGTTTTTCCCATGGTATTTCCAATAATCTCATATGCCTGTAAAAGCTAAACAATGAACAGGGAAGACCATAGAAGAATTGATGCAGTTGCTGACTGCTCACTAAAAAGGTAACTTCAAACTTACCCAGAGGTACCTTGGAAGCCAAACCTGGCAATCAGCCTGGGAAACCCTATAAGCAGTTCTACTCTGCACATATGGTGTCATCATGAGTTGAAATTGACTCACCTGCAATGAACAGCAACAGGTGAATTCTAGACTAGTATTCTCTGCTTCCGTAGAATTTCTTTGGAACCAACTTGAAGGCACTTAACAACAGTAACAACAAACTATGAAAGCATATACACAATTTATATTAGTAATAATGTCTGCCATTTATTGATTGTGTTCTATGTCCTCAGAGAATGGTAGTTTTACATACATGACCTTGTTTAATCCTTGCCATATTATATATCCATAGTTGAGGCATGTGAGACTAAGTAAATTACTCAAGTCACTCAGTTTATAAGTAAAAACACTAGGATTTGAACTTGTCTGCAAAGTTTACAGTTTTCTCACTATATCTTAACACTGACTCTATCCTACTTGAATCCATTTGTATATTGATTTTGGTCCCTTTAGTTGGGATTTAGTTTTTCCAGAACTTATACAACATCTCTTTGGACTTGTTATCCAAGATCTTTCATTTTTTGTTAGGTTTTAGCCTTTTCTGTTATAATGATATTGTTGAGACTCTGTCCTAATTTTCAAGAGGCCAAGTAAACAAGAAAAGAAACACAAATTCTATTAAATTTTCTTACTTATGCTTCCTGATTTTCTCAAACCCACATATTCTTGAAGAAAGAAATTAATGTTACTAAGGTAATTGATTTTTTTCAAGAGCCCAATGCTCTTTTAAAGAGCTCTGGTAGTATAGTGGTTATAAGGCAGACTGCAAACCTCAAGGTCAGCAGTTTGAAACTACCAGCAGTTCAGTGGGAGAAAGATGAGGCTTTCTGCTCCCGTAAAGATTTACAGCCTCGGAAACCCTGTACAGAGTCACTATGAGTCGGAACCGACTCCACGGTGCTTAACAACAACAACAACAACATTGCTGATTTGGACTCCTGATGTGGTACTGTAGGAACAGCTCTGGACCTCAAACCACAAGGTCACCCGTTCAAACACACCATTTGCTCCATGGAAAACCTATACAGGGTCACTATGAGTGAGAACCAATTCAATGGAACTTAACAGCAACAGCAGCAACAATTACTACTTTAACAGTGGAAAAGTCTAATTTCTTTGTATCACAACATGTTGTTGTTGTTGTTAAGTGTCATCGAGTCGGTTCCAACCCATAGCGACCCTCTAGAGGGTTTCCAAGGAGTGACTGGTGAGCTTGAACTACCAACCTTGCAGTTCAAACCGACTGTGCAATCTAGTGCATTAACCCACAGCGCCATACAACATACTAATCCCAAAATTAATATTAGATATCCAATAATACGGGCTTCTTCGTGAGTTTATCAATTAAAATTATTAAATAAAACAGAAAACATGAACATTGTATAGCCATAAAAACGTTAAGTAAGCCAGAAAACCAACAAAAAATGGAACTTTCAACCTTATCTGACAACAAGAAAAAATTGAAATTCAGACTTGTTTTACTGTATAAGCAAACCAGCCAAACAAAAATAGAGCCCCCATTGAAATTTCTTATCCATATGACATAAATTAGCAAAAGCCACCTACATTTGAACTTTTGTGACCAAACCATAGAATTTGTCACATCATCCTGGAATATCATATATTATTTAAGTCAAATTTCCCTTTATTAAACTGAAGTATTATAGCCCCATGTCATCTTGGAGTCCTGGTATGGCACTGTAGGATAAGCACTGGATCACGAGGTTGGTTTGAATCACTAAGTCAGTGGTTCAAACTCACCAGCCACTCCTTGGAAACCCTATGGCAGGGTTGCTATGAGTCAAAACCAACTTGATGGCATTTAGCAAACAACATATTATCTTAATCAACATCAGGCTTTAAGTAGTGTGTTCAAGGATTAATTAATTGATTCTACACTGTGTTAATGTGTGTGGGCAGAGAATAAAACTTTCCAATAAGCTGAGAGTTAGATATAGGAATAAAAATGAACACTTAACAAAAAAGGGCCAACTAAAATGATAAATAAATTATATATACCTTGCACTTCCCACTTTACTTATATTCCTGACATGCTAATGAGTCAATATTTTATTTGTTAATTTCCAAGACTATAAACTTCTATTAAAATAAACCACTTTATGTTCATATCTTATCATTTTTTCCTTTTTTCTTTTTTCAGTTTGTTCCCAATATTCTAGAGGAGTTTTTGCCATTTTTGGACTCTATGATAAGAGGTCTGTACATACCTTGACGTCATTCTGCAGCGCCTTACACATCTCCCTCATTACACCAAGTTTCCCTACGGAGGGGGAGAGCCAGTTTGTGCTGCAGTTACGACCTTCCTTACGAGGAGCACTCTTGAGTCTGCTGGATCACTATGAGTGGAACTGTTTTGTCTTCCTGTACGACACAGACAGGGGTAAGTCCCACTTTTGTATCTATATGCTTGCACTCTAATTTTCAACCTAAAATTGTGATAATTTAGCAAATATTTTGATTCGTAATACGACTAAAATCAGAAAATATTCAATGGGCATTATCAGTGGTGTTGTCTTGGCTCTGGTGAAAATGTTCTGATTAAACAAGTTTTATATTCATAAGGTTTTTCTTGAGCAAAACATGCTCTATAACTTTACTAAAATCAAGACTACTTATTTTGTAAATATCACAGATGATGTTTCAGTTATAGTCCCAAAATAAATTAAGTGCTTGACCTTAAATGCAAATGACTTAATATTTTGGAACATCTTAAAATACTAACAGGTGGAGTCTTATAGATGAGTTTGAAATAAAAAAAAACATTAAGTGAGTAATTGAAGAGTCGTGGCAATGACAAAGGAGATGTACTGGTATGGTTTCTGACAACATTTCATTTGATCAGACTCTAAATATGAATAAGTGATATCAGATATTTCATATTGGAGAATATTGAGTCCCTACACAATTTTTGGAGTTCTGGTATGGCGTTGTGGAGTAATGTATCAGACTGTAAAGTCGTTTCAACTACAAAGTTGGTGGTCCAAACTCACCAGTGCCTCCTTGGAAACCTATTAGGGTCGCCATGGGTGGAATTGACTCAATGGCACTTAACAACAGCAACAGAGCATTTTTACTGAACATACTGTAGACTGATTTCTCAATTTAAGACATAACTTAAAGCATTCCCATGCATTTTCTTTAATTCTGTTTTTATTTAGTGAATAGAATTGTAGCCATTTGGTGTATATTTCAGAATGAGTATTTGAGAATCACTAATGGGTTTTGCCTTCAGTCCTTTTTCTTAATGTATAAGAATTATGAAAAGACTGGAAGTTAAAGTTTGAAACAGGCAACGTTTTAAAAACATTCTTGAATAGAATTCTATATGAAATAAGTAATGATAATATATATATATATATTCTTTTCCCTTTTTAAGTCCAAAAGGCAAAGTAAGTAATTTGAAGATACGATCCACCTTCATAAGTCCAAAGTATTATTTCTTGTACTCAGGGAAGGAAATCCATTAAATGAAAATTGTTCTCATTAAAATAAACATATGTAATTAGATATGAACAGTATATCATATAAGACAGTCTCACAACAATAATGATTTTAGAACATCATTTATATTAATGTTCTTAGCAAATTATACTTTCAGAAACAAGCTCAGAGAATCTGTGATGATTATAATATATTCTATATGGTTCTAGCATATGCTAATTCTTATTTGGAAATATGAGAACCTACCATTTGATCATTTTTCCATTAATAATCTAAGGCATTGTAGGGAACAATCTACAGTGAAAGAAATTATGACTATGTCAATTGGTAGATGCTATATAAATCCTTAAGGAGCTCTGGTAGTGTAGTGGTTACGAACTGGGCTGCTAATCTCATGGTCAGCAGTTCAAAAGTACCAGCTGTTCTGCGGGAGAAACATTGACAGCCTCAGAAACCCTGTATGGGTAGCTATGAGTCAGAACCAACTCCACGGCACATAACAACAACAATGTAAATCCTCAAGCAAGAGGGCACTGAGAATTGAATCATAATGTCAAGAAATGTATACTGACGTGTGGATGAGATGGTTCTCCCTGTGATTCATTGCTACATAACTCAGGTCTCCACATTGCCCAGAATAAAGACAACCATCTTCTATGGTTTCCCAGAAATACCAGTTGTTTCATTATCTGACTGTTTCCTCTCCCCCTGTCTAAACCAATTCCTATCAAGGAGATGAATGTAGGCATTCACATATCAACGTCCCTACTAAAGGGGAAATACAAGTGGTGCTTTGCTTTTGTACTTTCCAGAACCCTCATTCCTGCCACGCAAGTCAGATGCTCCATGAAATTAATTGATCTTTTCCTTTGATTCCCTACCACAACTTGAGTAATTCCCCATTACATCTCACATGAGATCGTTCTACAAAAGCAGGCACACTTGTTTATTTGCTGATTCCTTCTACAGAATAGCTTTCTGATTGCAAAGAGATACCCTCATCGTGGTACAAGCATTGTTTCTTCCAATATTAGATCTTATAACTTTCACCTACTTTCTGACTTATAGCACAAAGTTACTTTTTTTCATAGTAATCATACAAATGCAAAGTTCTGCTTCTCACCAATTGATACAATTCACTTTCTCATATTGCTGTCTTTAGTTCTTTCTCCTGATGTGGGACTGTGTAATCAGTACAGGACTGCAAACCACAAAGTGGGCAGTTCAAACTGACCAGCTCGGAAACCCTATACCAGGTCGCTATGAGACAGAACTCATTTAACAACAGTTCTTTCTAGCAGTTGCTCAGACAAACTAGCTAGTCCTTTGTATTGTCTTCTATTTTAGTAATAAGCTTGCACAACTTTAAATTGACACCTTTACTCCAAGATTAATTTCATGAATAAAAAATTAAATGTCAAGAAAATGACCATTTCTTGATGTTCAGATAACCTACCTTCCAGGTGATGACACCATTATGATTCTCAATATCCTGGGTTTTAATCAAGAACTCACAAAGAATGGCAATAATTGTTTCTCCCTTTGAAATTATTGTAATTATTTTATAAGGTTAGGATCGCAAGTCCAATGTACTGTCTTCAGATACTATGTTTACAATTCATGTTTGCTATTACCAGCCCTGGTGTGGCATTGTAGGATAAAGCTATAGACTGCAGGGTCAGTTTGAACTGAAAGGCTGGCAGTTCAAACTCACCAGTTGCTCCCTGGAAGCCCTATGCATGGTTGCTATGTGTCGTCACCAACTCCACAGCACATAACCACCACCAGCCACCTGTGGTTATTTAAGATTGAGCTTGTAATGTGGTTTGTGCAGCTGAAGAACTGCATTTTAAATTTTTCTTTATCTCTATTAACTTAAATTTAAATAATTACATATTCTTCACAGCTGCCATATGGGACAGCGTGTATTAGACAACATGACTAACTATTGAGCTCATATGTTGTTGTTGTTGTTAAGTGCCGTCGAGTCGGTTCCGACCCATAGCGACCCTGTACAGGGTTTCTGAGGGTGTAAATCTTTATGGGAGTAGAAAGCCTCATCTTTCTCCCACGGAGCAGCTGGTAGTTTCGAACCACTGACCTTAAGGTTCGCAGCCCGAT